AAATGGCATCATTGTAAATTATACAGAAATAATGGAAGCATTACTCAATATTTTAATAGGAATAGATTTACTGATTTCATACAGTGCATGTATGTGTAAAGCACTACATTTTGAACTGTTTTATTAGGAACCTGGAAAATGATGATTAAAAATTACAAACGCCAAGGGAAAAATTCATGTATTTCTGATAACAATGTGGTTATTACTGATCTGCATGGGAATTGTGGATGGAATATGATGGCTACACATCCCATTCAAAATAAATTTCTTCTTCATAGATAAAAAAATATGGGTAAAATTACTTTTATATATGGGGATTATGGGGGGAATATTATGGTTACACTTAACCTATTTCAGATAAGCAAATGCATAAATAAATATTTATAAATATTTTTCTACATGGGGATTATGGGTGCATTTTTATGGATGCACACATGCCAAAGATTATATTTGATCTATGTCTGAAAAGATTATGGGTATAGTTATTTTTCTGCATGGGCATTATGGGTGGAATATCAAGGTGAATTTGCTTAGGAACACATTTGAGTCCTTTCTTATAAGAATATGAGAATAGTAATTTTTCTACATGGGGATTATGGGTATATTATTGTAGATACACATGCCAAGGACCATATTTGACCTATTTCTCCTAAGAATATGGGTATAGTTATTTTCTGTATGGGGATTATGGGTGGAATATCATGGTAAACAAGTTTATGAACACATATGACCTGTTTCTAATAATAATATGAGAATAGTTATTTTCCTGTATGGGGATAATGGATGGAATATTATGGTTAAACATGCCTAGGAACACATATGACTTGTTTCTGATAATGATATGAGAATTGCTATTTTTCTACATGGGGGGGAGTATGGGTGGAATATTGTTTTTTTACATGACTAGGAACACTTTTTACCCCTTTCTGATAAGAATATGATAATTTCTATTTTTCTACATGGGTATTATGGGTGGATTATTGTGGATACACATGCCAAGGACCATATTTGACCTGTTTCTCCTAAGAATATGGGTAAAGTTATTTTCTGTATGGGGATTATGGGTGGAATATCATGGTAAACAAGTTTATGAACACATATGACCTGTTTCTAATAATAATATGAGAATAGTTATTTTTCTACATGGGGATTATGGGTGGATGATTGCAGATACACATGCTAAGCACCATATTTGACCTACTTCTAACAATATGTGTAGTTATTTTTCTATATGGGGATTATGGGTGGAATATCATGGTTAAAAATGCCTAGGAACACATTTGACCCCATTCTGATAAAAATATGAGAATAGTGAGGGAGGAGCCTGAACATGCCTCTGACCGGGAGCTCAATGTGAGAGCTCCTGGAGAGCCAGCGCTCCCTGTGACCCGCATGCTATGATCGCCCAGGAGGCCTGAACTCACCTGGGGCTTGGGACTGCTGCCGCTTGAGGGTCTTGCTGGGGAGTGGGTCTCCTGTGTGGAGGATCATGGAGAGGTGGAGGATGAAGAGAAAGGAAGCGGCTGCCTTGAAGGGAGGCGGACCCTGCTGGAGGCTGGAGCAGCAAAACACTGGGTGGTCACGTGGCCAACACAGAGGAACGCTAAGAAGCAGAGATACCAGCTGGCTCCGTACGAAGGAGAGCCTGGCCCCACCGCCCTTTTTGGCATAAGCCTGCTTTGATTGTCCAGGAGCCCAGGATCCGTGGAACTGTATAGAGGGTGACCCCGCAAAACAGTTTGCCATAGCTATGGATGAGTTTGGATGTCTGACAGTGTGAGAGGTCCCTGTGACAAAAAGAAGCCCATCCGTAGCCGAGACAACCTCAACAGGAGGAAAGTTTCACGAAGGAGGTGCAGAGCGGCTACAAGGGATGGTGAGTTTAAAAAAAAAAACTTAAAAGGATCTGCACTGTTTGAAGCGTAATAGGGGGGATCAGCCAGAGGGGCCAGAAGAAATAGGCATAGAGACATAAGAAAAGTGAAGATACTGGAGACCCCTAGGGAAAAGAAAACTGAAGAGACGCTGATCTCGGAGAGTTATATCCCCAATTTGCCCAACAGAAGTGAATCCCTGGTGGTAAAAGACAGAAAATAAATGAATACCATGAAAAGTAAAGCGGCGGGGGGGGGGGTCAAAGACTTTCCAAACAAGCTCAATTAAAAAATATATACCCTCACAAGAAAAAAATTTGGAGGGACAGACCCTAGAGAGACAGTAAGGAGTAAGCGTCAGGTGGGATATGGAAACCATCAATAGGGATCATTCCAGATTATCTATGGGGATATCTAATATTAGCCAAAATGCTGAAGGGGAAGATATTGAAAATGAGTCAGCTGTGGAAAGCTTTGAAGTACAAGGGAGGACCCCACAGATGCTTACTAAAGCTGATATAGCAGATATGTTTAGAAGACTGGAACGCTCTATAAAGCAGGAGATGGCGATAATACACAAAGATCTGGGCCAAGTCTTGTCACAAGAGGAAGAGACCGAGGGGAAATTGGATAAGCATGCCCAAGAAATAATAAAAATAGAAAAACAGATGGAAGATATAAAAAAGGCACAAAGGAATCTGCTATATAAACTGGAAGATCAGCAGAACAGAGACAGAAGGTGTAATCTGAGGATACGGGGTCTACCTAAGTCCTCGGAAGAAGATCTGATGGAGATTACTGTGAAAATGTTCAATATAATAACTGACAGACCAGGAACAGAAGAAGATCGATAGTATGCACAGAATAGGAAGAGCTCAAGGAAGAGGAAATGGAACCCAAGAGAAGTGATCGTTCGATTCCATCATTACAAAGATAAAGTGGAGCTATGGAAGAAGACAAAGAGAAAACCAGTAATACATTTTGGAGAAGTAAATACAGAGTTTTGCCAATATATAATCAGAAACATTGGCTAGAAGGAGAACACTAAAACCATTACTGGAACAATGAAAAAAACAACATGTGCGATACACTTGGGGCTTCCCTGCATGCCTAATTGGCTGAAAAGATGGTCGCTCTGCAAGATTGAGATTTTCAGAAGATTTGAGAGACTTTTGTGAGAGACTTGAACTACAGCATGTAGATATTCCAGGATGGGAGAAGGGGGTGGAAGAAGATAAGAGAATAGAAAGTGATAGCTGGCACACAGTCCCTAAAGTGAGAATGCACCATAGATAAAATGGGGGAGGAGGGGGAGGAAAGGAAGGGAATTTTTGGAGGTACGTAGTTATTTAAAAAAATTAAAAATAAAGTAACATTCTTTATTTATATAAAACTTTCACAGGACATATAGACAACAATAAGGCAAGTAAGTGGATGCCACTATAAAAGACCACGAACCAAGTTCAGTGCAGTCACATACAAAACCAATTGCCAACCACAAAAACAGCATTGTGTAATACACTGGGTCAAGAGTCAATACAATCAGACCAGTCTGCTAAACATAAGAAAACACTAACAGCATCCAAAACAGAAAAAAATAAGAGAGAAAAAAAATAAATAAAAAAAAAAAAGGGAGGGGGGGGGGGGGAATCGAGAAGAGAAATGAGAAAGAAAGAAAAGACGGCAAAAGGCAAAGTGAGAATGATGAAGGGACTTCAAGCCATCGAGCGAAGCAAGAAGTCATATTCTCTGGAGCAGGTAAAGAGAGACCAATGGATCCATCTCTAGCGAAACTGAGCCTCCTGACCTCAAACCGCCACCATAATATTTTCCATTGCATTTTATCTATTTTTTTCCTTCTCCTCCTTTCGTTTCACCCCTCCCTCCCTTGATATTGCCTCCTGAATAAAATAAGATTAAAGGTAAAATTTTAAAAGAGAAGTGGTAAAAAAGGAAGCTGCAGATGCATCCAGACATGCAACCTAAGGTCTGGGAACGCGGTCTGGATGGGCGCTTGTGGTCAGAGCTCCACCCCAGCTCGGAATCAATGGTGGGATTAGGACCACAAATGATTCAAAGGTGAGGTATGAGCATGGGGTAGTGGGGGGGGGGGGGATATGGGGTGAGGGGAAGGGGGGGTGGGAACAGGAGGGAGAACTGTACAGGAAATTGCTCCATGTTCCTTTGAAAGGTTGATGGTGCCCTTAGAAAGAATGTAGATGGAGGGAAAGGGAAAAGAGAGAGAAGGAGGAAAGGAGAGGGAAAAATAATATATACACAAAAGTGATGGAGGAGGTCGATTTTATGACTTATAATGTTAAGGGATTGAATATACCGGGAAAAGGGCATACGATCCTTAGAGAATTACAACAATGATCTATTGGAATAAATGAGTATAGTTGACCTTTCTCATAAACAGCGCTCATTTATATAAAACAAATAAATATAAATCAAACTTAATAAATATAAATGGAGAGTAGAGAGGAGACAGTGCTTCCACCACGGTGTATCAGAGTGAACATGCACACAGTCCAGTCCACTTTATCAGTCCTAAATAATTTCTGTATTCCAACAAATCCACTCCAACACCTATGTGATCTTGCAGTGATTAACACCCTGTCAGATTGGACACTCACCAGATGCTGTGAATAACCAGCAGTGGAAAATCTCCTCCTTAACCACTTGCCTACCAGGCACTTATACCCCCTTATTTACCAGGCCAATTTTCAGCTTTCAGCGCTGCCGCACTTTGATTGACAATTGCGCGGTCATGCAACATTGTACCCATATGAAATTTTGATCATTTTTTTCTCACAAATAGAGCTTTCTTTTGGTGGTATTTAATCGCCACTGGGCGCTTTACTTTTTGCGCTATAAATAAAAAAAGTGAAAAAAATGTGAAAAAAAAAAAAGTTTCTTTGTTTCTATTATAAAATTTTTCAAACAGGTATTTTTTCTCCTTCACTGATGTGCATTGATGAGGTGGCACTGATAGGCGGCACTGATGGGCACTGATAGGCAGCACTAAAGGGCACTGATAGGCAGTACTAATGAGGTGGCACGGATAGGCGGCACTGATAGACAGCACTAATGAGGTGTCACGGATAGGTGGCACTAATATGCAGCACTGATAGGTGACACTGATGATGGGTACTGATAGACGGCACTGACTGGCATCACTGCTGGGCACTGACTGGCGGCACTGACTGGCACAACCCCTGGGCACTGACTGGTGGCATTGACTGGCAGCACTGCTGGGCTGCACTGGTGGGTGGGCACAGGTGTGTGGCACTGCTGGGCACAGGTGGGTGGCACTGCTGGGCACAGGTGGGTGGCACTTCTGGGCACAGGTGGGTGACACTGCAGAGTGGCACAGGTGGGTGCACTGCTGGGCACAGGTGGGGGCACTGCTGGGCACAGGTGGGTGATCTGCTGGGCACAGGTGGGCGGAGCTAGTGGGCGCACTGCTGGGCACAGGTGGGCGGAACTTGCGGGTGGCACTGCTGGGCAGCGATCATCAGGGCACTGGTGATCAGTGACCCTGATGATCGGTGCCGATCCCCGCTCTGACAACTGCCGGTTCTCGGCAGTACTTTCCTCACGATCTGACAGCGTGAGGAAAGTGCAGCCGAGAACCGGCACTTGCATTTCCCTCTGATCAGCGTGTCATTGGACACCGCTGATCACGTGGTAAAAGGCCGCTGTGATTGGCCTTTTACCACATCACGTGATCAGCTGTGTCCGTAGGACACAGCGATCACGGAGATCGCCGGGTGCGCGCCCCCTGGGGCCGCAGGAGAGCGCGTTCTGGGAGGACGTCATATGACGTCCACTCAGAACTGGCCGGCCGCAGTTTAGCCGTCATTCGGCTATCTGCGGTCGGCAGGTAGTTAATAGCTAGACAGCAATACCCCATCAATGATCACTAAAACATTCACCTTCCAGACTCCACAGCACCATCACTCAAGCATAAGAATCCAATCCAATTCATGGGTAAAAATGTGGAACAAATCACATAGCGTAAATCTGTTTTCAGAGCTTTTATTGCCTCAATTCCCCCTTAAATTTATTACAGGAGACAAATGTAAAATCATATTCTAGATATTACCCAACCTGGTATTATGCTGATTATTGATTGGTATAGCTAAGAATTTAAGATTCAAGTTGAAGGATAGGCTGGAGGATCCTGAGGGGTGGTTCTTGTTCTTGAAAAGGAGACTACAGGAAACTGAGTGTACATTGGCAAATATTTATTGCCCTAATAGAAATCCGTAGGCCTATCTTAAGAATACACTGAGAAGGCTCCTGGATTGCAAACTGGGCAAATTGATTGTGGCAGGGGATTTTAATTTTTACATGGATCCTCAGATTGATACAACTTCGCATGTGCAGAGAGAAGGAATTAGAAGTCGGAAGGCAACGCAAAGAATGCTATATCAGTATCAACTAGTTTATGTATGAAGAATTAAATATCCCAGAGATAGAGACTATACATTCTATTCTCCAGCTCATGCAATGTATTCAAGATTAGATTATATGTTGATTGAACATAGATTATTAGAGTCATTGGTTAAAGTAAATATAGAAGTTACAACAATATCGGACTATGCACCAGTTCGAACAAAGCTACTATGGGGGAGAGAGCAGAATAAGATAAATATGTGGAAGTTAAATGAGACACTCCTTCAGGATCAGGAAACGGAAGTGAGGATAAAAAAAAAAAGAAATAGAATAGTACTTTGAAAGAAATATCAATCGAAGGAATATCAATTGGTTTGGGAAGCCCATAAGGCATATATCAGGGGAATTCCAATAGCGATTGGGGTTAAAAAAAAAGGAACGACAAAAGAAAATTAATGCGCTATTAAGGGAATTATATGAACTTGAACAGTTACATAAAAAGAGAAAAGCAATAGACATACAGCAGCAAATAATGAAAAAAAGAGAGGAATTAGGTAATGTAATGGAGGAGGAAGAAACGAGGAGAACTTTCAAAATGATGGTAAGACAGAGATAACAGTGGGGAAATAAACCAGGTAAATATCTAATGAGAGCACAGAGAAAGAAGAAATCTAGGAATTATATTGAGAAAATTAAGGATGATAATGGAGAACTGGTGTATTCGACCACTGATATCGCTAAGGTATTGTCACGGCTCCAGGGTATGACCAGAGGTATGTGACTGACGCAGGGAAACGCAGGCTTCAGATATGTTATAAACAATAAGACAATTTATTAAAGACTAACAATACAACATAAAAACGCAGTGCAATACTAAAACATAACACAGTGCAAACGAACCAAACCTCCCACAGATAACAATATATACAATGCAAGCGTCGTCAGGCAGGCCGGGGGTCAATAACAATCGGGCAGGTAGGAACAGGGGGTCAGGCAAAGAATGGTCGGGGTTACAAGCCAGGGATGAAACAGGAGAAGTCAGCAGAGGTCCGGAATCAGGCAGGGTCAGCAACGAATCAGTCAGACAGGAACAGGGATGCAGGTAGCAAGATACAGGGCCCAGGAAAAACACACACCAAGGCACAGACTGCAGGTCTGGCCATCCCTTAAATACACCTGCATGATCAGCTTCAGGTGTTTGGCTGGCTGCAGGGTTGAGTCTCTGATTGCTGGGAGCACCCGCTGGCCAGCCCTGGTACTGCAGCCCACAAGGCAGGTGAGTCCCACCATTACTGGCAAGTCCATTCCTGACAGGTATTCAAAAAATATTATAGCAAACTATATGACATAAATTGGAAACAGTCAAGAGGGGGGAAGAGGAGAGAACTAGACAGAGACAGATGTATTTAAAGGAGGCAACCCTACCAAGATTAGGAGAACAGTTAAAACACTTCGAAAAAAAACGATAAAGCAGGAGGAAATCCAAGGGAAATTGAAGGGGACAGCTGCTAGGAAGAGCCTGGGGCCTGACAGATATACAGTGAGATATTATAAAAAATTTAAAGAACAATTCATCCCCAAATTGAGTGTATATATGAATGCAGGAGATGGGATGGAAATGAGGGAGGAATCATTGTAAGCATACAGTCAGGTCCATAAATATTGGGACATCGACACAATTCTAATATTTTTGGCTCTATACACCACCACAATGGATTTGAAATGAAACGAACAAGATCTCTCTGATGGGTTTGTTTTCTTTTTTCAGCCTAATGATGGCTTGCTTCACTGATAGTGACAGCTCTTTGGATCTGATCTTGAGGGTTGACAGCAACAGATTCCAAATGCAAATAGCACACTTGAAATGAACTCTGGACCTTTTATCTGCTCATTGTAATTGGGATAATGAAGGAATAACACACACCTGGCCATGGAACAGCTGAGAAGCCAATTGTCCCATTACTTTTGGTCCCTTAACAAGTGGGAGGCACATATGCAAACTGTTGTAATTCCTACACTGTTCACCTGATTTGGATGTAAATACCCTCAAATTAAAGCTGACAGTCTGCAGTTAAAGCACATCTTGTTTGTTTCATTTCAAATCCATTGTGGTGGTGTATATAGCCAAAAATGTTAGAATTGTGTCGATGTCCCAATATTTATGGACCTGACTGTATATTATACTTATACAAAAAGAGGGAAAATATGGGATCCAATGTGCTTGTTATCGGCCTATCTCACTGTTAAATATGGATACTAAGCTATTTGCAAAGGTCCTGGCAACTAGGTTGAAAGATCTAATGCTAGAGTGAATTCATCTGGATCAAGTGGGATTTGTCCCCGTGTGAGATGGGGAAACAGCTCTCATTGTTTGAACACTGTTTGTGTGGAAGTAAATTAATGTTTTGACTGACATTCTGCGGTTTAGCCACAAGATGTCACTGTTTTTCTAACACAGCCTCAGACTGCATAGATATTTGTATATTCATGAAGAGGGTGGGGTTTTGCACACAGATTTGGAGAGAACAGGAAGGAGAGAGAGAAGCCATGTTTTGGAGCATGGTGAATAAGGGTCCGTGTGAGCTGAGAATCTGATGACATCCAGGTGTGAAAGCGTCCCTCAGTAACCAGAGCTGCTGCTAAGTGAAGCTGATTGTGTCCAAGACCCTGATCCTGTTCAGAGAAAGGAAGATTGCTGCAAGGAATACTGATGAGAGCAGAAGAACTAAGCAGCATATACTGCAATACCGCATGCTTGTTGGAGAGACATTTGTTCTGTTCAGAGTCACCAGCGGATGCAAAGCAGACCCGGGTCGGTAAGATCGTGCACGCACCTCATTTCAGTGTTGGCGCCTAGAGACTGAGGCCAGGCCTATAGTTAGTTAGTTAGGGTCTCTGTGTTAGGCCACAAGTGTTGTTACTGATTATTGGAAGGACTCCACAACTTAAAGTGACATTTCACATTGGAGAGCTGATAAAATCCCACAAACTCAAGCCAGACTGGCGTTTTGCTCAGAAGGAATACTCAGGCACGTGCTACAGGACCAGTTATGGGAGGGGGAATACTGTAGAGTTGTGTAAGATTGTAAGCTGTTGTACTGCACCGCAGGCTAGCCTATACCATACACCCATACACTGATTCTTGCTCTTTTAGGGTAATAACAGGTAAGGTGTGGCAGCTTAGTTGTGCCTGCCAGTAGGTAAATTACTTCAATTTCTACCTTCATCCATCAGAAGGTGCCGTGCTGTGCAGCACAAGGGTCTCAGCCATTTGGGCTGGGTGTATGTAAATTTATTGTATGTTTCCAGCATTTGTGGTTGTGTTTATTTGCCACATCTAAGTAAAATTCTGTTGTGGCAAAAGCTGGTGTTGGGGTTGCTTTCCTAGTTTGTGACTTCACTGTATCCTGGGGAGCCCACCCCAATACACGGCTTACACCCAGGAGGGAGGAAAATAATAATGGGTTAAGATCACTACTCCTTATACAGAAGAGCAAGAGAAAAAAAAACCCCTGTATTGATCTTGTCAATCGATGCAGAGAAGGCTTTTGATAGGGTAGATTGGGGCTTTATGTTAGACACGCTGGAGATTTTGGCAATTGGTCCCAGATGAGAGAGTGGATAGGAAAGCTCTATAGCCAACCCTCAGCTGCAGTAAAGGTCAGTGGTTTGTTATCAGAGTTTTTCAGGCTGTATAATGGGACAAGACAGGGGTGTCCTCTTTCACCTCTGTTGTTTGGTCTATCCTTAGAAACCCTCTTGGCAACAGTAATAGATAGTGTATATATAAAAGGGGTCTGGATAGGGGAGGTAGAACACAAAGTGGCAGCATATGCAAATGATATGCTGTTTTATGTGGCTAACCCTAGGTTGACATTACCTAAATAATGAAATATTATGGAGAGCTGTCAAATTTAAAAATGAACCAGGTAAAAACAGAGATCTTACATGTTAATGTCCCATAATGAAAAAAAAAAATCTGAAAAGAGAATTTCCCTTTTTATGGAGGGAAAGAGAAATAAAATATTTTGGGATAAAACTGACTTCGTCCTTAAAGAACTTATATAAAATAAACTATATCCCATTATTAAACAAGATAAAGGAGGAATCGAGAAGTCTATCGGCAGGATCACTTTCTTGGATAGGACGAATAAAAATGATAATCATCCCAGAAATTGTATATAAATTCCATATGCTGCCTATACAGTTCTCTGGAGCCTATTTTAGGATCATTTAAAAAACTATACTGAGATACATTTGGGGAAATAAAAAACCGAGAATAAGCT